TTTTTAGTTGTCCAGCTAATTTCTTTCTATTTTTAGTAGAGACGGGGTCTCGCTCTTGATCAGGCTGGTCTCGAACTCCTGAGCTCAAACGATCCGCCTGTCTCTGCCTCCCAGAGTGCTAGGATTACAGGTGTGAGCCACTGTGCCCGGCCCTAAAAGCTTTAAATAAAATATTAGCAAATGGAATCCAACACCATAGTAAGAAAATGAAACACAAAGAACACATGGGATTTAGTCCAGGAGTGCAAGGTTGGTTCAACGCATTAATATAATACATCACAATGATAGCTCTAAGAAGAAAAATCATGCTATCTCCATAAATGCTGAGAAAAAGCCTTCAACAAAACTTAAGACCCATTCCTGATTTAAAAAAACTCAAGAAAATAGGAATTGATACTTACTTTCGTGACAAATAAACATATATATTTTGTTTTAGAGCCAGAATCTTATTTTTAAGAAAGAAACACCAGAGGCATTTTCACTAGTATCAGAAATCAAACATTCTCTATTATAAACTATTTAACGTTGTATTAGAGGTATTTGCCAAGGCTATTTTACAAGAGAAATCAATTAGAGGCAGCAGAATAGGAAATGAAGATGTAGAAGTATCTTTATTTGCAGATGATATGATCATGCACCTGGAAAACTCTACAGAACCAATAATCTTTAGATGGCAGAGAAACAGGCACTCTCAAATATTGCTGCTAGTATGGAAATTGGTATATTCCTTATGGATGGGAACTTGGTAATATCTAACAAAAGTACACGTGTTTACCTTTTAACTTAGCAATCCCAATTCTAGGGATATATCCTGACATTAATTGTCTCATGATGTGAACATACATATATACAAGGCTATTATTCATTGTGGCACTGTCTATTTACAAAACATTGAAAACAAGCTAAATGCTCAAACATAGGAGAGTACCTGAATAAACTGCAGTACCTCCACATAATAAGAATAATCTCTCAGATATAGAGAGATTTCCAGGATATATTTTAAGTGAAAAGAGCAAAATTTTAAAGAGTACCCCACTCTTTGTGTAAAAAAGGGGGGACTGAGAAAATATACATGTGTTTGAACAAGACTGGTTACCTACAGGTGTGGGACACAATGCAATGGATAGACAGAGGAAATAGAAGGGGGGAAATGATACCCTTCCGAATATATCTTTATACATAAATCTTGACTTTTGGAACCATGTTAATGTTTTGTCTGCTTAGAAAAATAGACAAAACCAACAAGGATGGGAGGAAAATCCTAAAATTGAACACAAACAGAAACAAATGAATCAAACCATGTTTCAAATAAATAACATAACCACACTCTAACAGAGAAGAGGCAAATCAACCTAAGTATCTTTTGATAACAGCATTTGGACTAATGACAAAAAAATCAACTCTAAACAAATGCTGAGCTGTAATTAGTAAGATTCTTTCAAACAAAGGCATAGCTTTGAAATTCTCAAATTACTTCCTAAACATTCTAGGGTTTAGCACATAAGTGAATATACTGTAGATAATGAAAGTCAGGAGTTACAATTAGGAAAGAGAGAATGAACCCTGTATGGTGTGGAATTGTAATGGATGGACACACATACACATACACACACACATACATACACACAAACACACACATTCTCATACCTAGATACACATGCACACACACATACACATAAATTACATATGCACATTCACAAACATACATAGACTCATGCTGGGTGTTTTCCCATCTAAACAATCTCAGCCGTTAGAGTCATATAATTAGACCTGAAGAAATAAAATTTCCCAATTTCTAAATCTACATTTAAAAGATACTGGCTATGCAATCCACATAGTAGAAGAGTGTTACCAATAAGAACAACTATTGGGAAAAAAAGGCTTTTAAGCAGAACAGTCAGGCTAACTTTTGAATAGAAAGAATTTACTCATATATTGGCTAGATCATGAAAACATTACTTGATGAAAAATATAAAATATAATATTAATCCTAATGGTAAATATTTAAATATACCTACCTCAGATTATTTTCATATTAGTAAGAGAAACACATTATCTTTCACAAAAATTGTAAAGATGCAAATGCCACCTAGTATTTCACAAGGAAACATGTTAAAAATCACTGTACCTTACAGTAAAATCATAGGAGCAAGAGGCCAGCACCGAACCATGAAATGGTGAAAACTACAAAAAAAAAAAAAACCAAAAAACCCTTTTTGAGGTTAGCTGCAATTATAACATACTTCCTATAGTCATTCCATAAACATCATAATAAATTTAAGTTAATCAGAGCTGTCACTTAAAATGATGCTTTCCCAAACCTTACACACATTAATTTGAGGCAAAAATTTGGCCTCTAAGTATCCGTCTATAGGAAAAATATTTATTTTTACACTCTTCAAATAAAGTCATCCCTCAAGCAAAGTCATCCCTGTTACTATTCTGGAAAAATTAAATACAATTTCATATTCGCTATCCAAAAATGAGTCTTAAAAATATAAGGGATTTAAGCACGTGATAGTACAAATATATAATCATATAATTTACCAATTTTACAAATACGTATTATCATTTCTATAATCACAGGTACCAAAATAAACATTTAATGTTAAATACTTTTAAAATAATTTTTGTTATTTGTATATTAAATCTAATGAAAAATGATACCAAGGATAAAAATTGCAAATTTAAGATAAGTAATGCCTTCTAGATAAGTAATAAACATAGTTTAATAGGCTGCCCTTTGCACTATTTCTTCAGCGTTTGTCTTACAAGCATTTTAATAGCTATATATGCATATATAACTACATGTGAACAGCACTTAGTTTTGCAAAGCACTTTCACTACAATACCTTATTTCATTCTCACAACCACTCTGAAATATACATAGAAAATATTTTTCAACTACTAAAACCTGTTCACATAAGATCACTAATAAAAAATAAAATAGGGCATTGTGT